CCCCAAAACCCCAAACCCCAAAACCCCAAAACCCCAAAACCCCATATGAAAAGGAGGTATTGAAATCCGCTTAAATTCCTTCGTTTTTAATATTTGTTGATTCCTTAACAGAAATTTGTTCCTAAATTTACGCTCGGAACAGAAAGTTTGTGAAGAATTATGAATTTTAAATACTAAGTTATGTGGATTCCTCGTCGGAACTCTCACTCTCGTCAGGGTCTCTGTCTAACTTCTTATAAATCTTATCGTAGTAGTCCATGACCCATTCCTTGGAGATGACTTCCTTGCCTGATCGTGTTTTTCATTTGAGTTTATCAAACATTTTCTCTTCTTTCTTGTTGTTATTTCCAAGGAAGAGGGCATCCCTCATTTCGTTCTTCATGACTATATCAGTCATGTAGGCTGGGTTTAGAGTATGGAAGAGTAGTTCTACGTTAACCTCCCCACAGATAACATCATGGTGGATGATAGCAGCCAGATAGTCTGAATAAGTTACTTTATAGTATTTTTGAGATTCCTTAGAAACTTCCAAGGAATCACTATTTCCTTTTGAAGTATCTGACTCCATGTAGTTCGTCTTCGGGGAATCTGGGAAGAAATTGAGCGTGCCAGTGTTGTTCTTATCCAACAACGTGAACTTCTCTCAGTATTCTGTTTTAGCACTTGGACACAAGAACTTTGTAGAATATTTAAGAAATTTCCTCTCCATTGCATTTAAGCGAGTGAAATATCTAGAGAGCTTATCACGATTTTCTTCAGTAATCGTCACTGAATCTTCGATTTCATGAATTTGCTTAAAAGCAGGATGCACAGGAATATCTTTAATGTGGATACGCTTCATAGGATCCTTTTCAAGCATCATCTTGACTAAATCTTTAAGCTCTTCAGGTACGGTATCCCAGGTCTCTTTAGGGTGAAAAGAAAGTTCTTGCTCTTGGATTTTTCTGAAGAGCTCTTCCTCATCTGTATCCTCAAATGGATAGCGGAAGCAGATAGAGAAGTAAAGCATTATTCCAATAGACCAGACATCTGCAGAGTAACTGTATTCCTGATTCAAGGACTCAGGAGCAACATAGTGAGGAGATCCCATCACCATCTTGTCGTTCAAGCTGTCTTGATAAGTTCTTGAGAAGCCGAAGTCTATCAACTGTATTTGGTAACCAAAGTAATCTGAGTTTTGAGTCTTTTCAACCATGATGTTGGGAGGCTTGTAATCTCGGTGAATGATCTTCTTTTTCATCAAATATGCAGCCGTTTTGAAAATTTGATAGAAGATCTTCAATGTGTCGATCAGAGGAAGTGGTTCCTTTAATTCAGAGTAGAGTTGAGCAAGAGATTTGCCAGGAGAGAATTCCAAAATCGCGTGAATGTATTCATCTTCTTGATAAGCTTCATTAAAATTAGCAATATTTGGATGATCTAGCTTATTCAGCAAGTTAAGCTCGTTGATGATAGAGCTGGTCATGTCAACTTCATCAACGACTTTCCTCATTGACTTCATAGCGAACATATACTCGTTGATTCCTTTGTATTTTGCTAATCTTACTGTAGCAAATCCTCCTTTTCCAAGTCTCTCCATGACTTCATAGGGATCAAAGACATGCGTAGAGGCTTTCATTACAAACTGGTTCTCAAGGAGTGGGAAATCTATATAAAAAGTTAGCTCTCGAATCTAAATTTATCTTTGTGTTTGCCTTTAGAGATTTTTGAAAAGGAATTACAAAACCTCCACTACAATAAACCGGCTAAAACCTCTTTGGACTACTTACGATAAGCATTCATAATAAGCTGGCTATTAGGGTCATGCCCCTTCCTCTTTTCCTTATACATCAGGGCCTTCATTTTGAGGTCTTTCTTAGCACTAGAACCATTGCAGCCCATTTTAATTAAGGTTTGAATAAATTATAATCGAGATCCTAGCCTAGTTCCTTGTATATATACCATTTGGGGTTTTGGGGTTTTGGGGTTTTGGGGTTTTGGGG